TCCCTTTAGCTTGCAGCCATGTGATACAATGAACATATCCAAATGACAATTCACTGCTAATATTTTCCGCATTCTCTTATCTTTTGCTGCACACAACATTATATTAGTGGGAAAATGTTCTCTGTGGACTTTTTTGCGCCGCGCTCTCCTCATATTTTTTTCCCACCCCCACTAAGGTTTTTGTCTCTCCAATGGCTGTGCGATGTTTTTTCTGGCAAAACCATCTAATGAGGTAAGGCGGAAAATCTCCACGAAGCTTATATTCTCAGACTGACTGCTTTGCTATGCACAAAAAAAGCCCAACATTTCGACATTGGAAAACACCGAGCCACATTTTTCATCATTGCCGGGATGCATTATGCAAAAGTAATTTTAATAGTCGAGATTAAAAATACCTCAACCCACACGAGTCATCTTTGAGTTGCCCATCGAGGGCGAGAGATTGCATCGAAATGAAGCTCTTGCAATAATGCAAATAGAAAAAGCTCCAGATGGATCTCAATTCGCTTCATCTCCATTCTATTCCTTTCTTCCTATTTCACTATTACAATGGTGAGAGCGCAATATTGCTTGGGATTAAGTACAAGGCATATTGCTTAAACCCGCTCTTTTCGGTGATAATGCTCGCTTCGGTGTTTGTTTGCTGAGGAAGCATATTTTTTAAGAAGTGGAACTTCTGTTTGTCTGAATGATTATTGGGTGTTTCCAAATTACCTGATCCTTCATTTAAACCCAAGGGGGAGATAATATGGCTCAAATCTGTACACTACTTCCTAACACTTCCATAATTGGCATGAAAAATCCATAACACTTCCCAGGAGTGTTAGATTATATGCATTATGCAAATTATGCCATTAATTATGGTTTTATGTCCTGGATTTCAACTGGAAACTAAATGAAATTAAACTTACAACCTTATTACTGAGGTCTTCAAACAATTTTTCTTCCTCTAATTGCACTTTTAATGTGTCTTTTTTGGCAATAATTTTTGAACAACATAGATATTCTTAAAGGATCTTAGTTAGAATCTGTATATCTCAAAATCTTAGCTGTTAAGTAAAAAACATTGAGGTTTTGTCTGACTTTAGTGCTGTTTTTTATCACTCAGCTTCCAAAATTACGATTTTCATTGACTGTGAATGCGCAATTTTACTAATAAGTGGAAATAGTATCTATTTTAAGCTGTTATTTAGTTTTAAATAAATAACGTAACCTAGAAAAATATGTTAAAAGACAGATCTAGATAGAAATAGATTTTGTAAGAGTAAAATCAATAGAAATTCAATAATACTAACACTTCTGGCCGTATTATCTCCCCTTACACCCATTACAAATTGCATTAAGATTCCCGCTTTTGTTAACGAGATTTTCCACATTTTATTCAATACGAAGAGCCATTATTTGCATACCAATGAATGGGATTTTTACAAGAATTTTTACATTATATTCAAGGCAAACTTCTGCACTTTCCAACATCTCTTGGATATGTATTTAAAAGGCTCCACCAAATCGATATATTCAGTGAGCCTTCGAGGGTTTTTCTCGCAGTGTTTGAACTCGGTCAAAGTTTCCGCTGTGTTGGGAGAGTTTTGAATCCCTCTACAAGTTGGCAAGTGGCGTAATGCTGAACAATAAAATTAAGCAAAAAGCATGACGATGAGGAGCTTTCCGCTTGAGTTATCGCGAACCGCGGATTGGACTTGGCGAAATGTTTCTCCTCCTATTGTGCGCTCGCGGGGCGAAGCTGGCGCCAATCGAGACAATGCCAGTCGCTGGCTTCTTTGTGGGAACTTCTCGTGCCGGAAGTGGGAGTAGTCAAGAACTCACTCCGGCCGGTGGGGATGTGTGTGGGGCCAGAAGACCGCTGGAATGTGTCGCTCCTCCAGCGCCAATATTGACTGTGTGAAGCCTCGCGTGAGGAGAATGAAACGATGATCTCAGCGAAGCAGAGCTTTGTGAGAAAAAAAGCACTGGCGCGGGAAGTGTTCTGTTGTTATTTCATTAAGAGTCATCTCGTTGGGTGTCTTCCGCATGGCGTCACAGAGTGAGAAAAGAGCCCCCGACTTCTGATGCCCCAAAAGCACGAGTGGCAAACCTCGTATTGGATTGTGTGGATTGTTTTCCAGGGAAAAAGAAGTGGAAATTGGATTTTTACTCCCAGAGAGCGAGAGATGTACTTTGTGTAGGCAAAAAGTCTGACTGCTTCCGAGTCCATAAGCCAAAACTGATTGAATCTCATTGTTCGGCGTGCTCAAGTTTTTATTCAAACATCCGCTCACGCGAATGTAAGGGCAAAACGCTTGCGACATTTCACAGGCCGGGAGGAGGAGATGCCATTGCAGGGGGTCAAATGTCATTGGGAGGGAATGGGAAACTGGATTTCATTTATCAACCGGATAACCCTTCGAGGGACGACGGCGATCAAGGAGAGAAGAATCTCTCCCCGCCCAATCCGGACCTGTTCAATTAATAAGACCGCGATAGAGTAATACTTCTGTTATGTGCGGCAATGATGAATAGAGCCAGACTTTTTACGTGCCGAGTTAGCGATTCGCAGAGAGGCTGAAGGAGAGAAAAAGCGACATAGAAAAGTGTGGTGCGACATTATAAATACATTTTGCCATGAGAGCAAACAAGTGGAAGGCGCAGAAATGACCGGAACTACTCTCGAAAGACCACCAATCTATTTATCATTTTGTAGGTGCTGCGCGCTGTATTTGGAAATTTCAGCAGAAAATTACACGACAAAGAGGTGAAACTGGACAGAATGGAAGGGAAAAAAGAGCAATTTTTCCACGATTTCTCCTCATATCGCGAGGAGGTAAAAAAGGCCGAATGTAATTGCTTGTAAAGAATATTGTGGAGCGATTTTGTCTACTCACGACAATACACCGGATATATTGAGGAAGTTTGTGATTCAGATTTTGTACTTTGGCCTTTTTGTTCGGCCTCTTGCAACACTCAAACACACACACAAATACACACACTCAATTCCAGAAGTTCTGGTTCATGAGACACGGAGGAGAACGCGGGAAAAAGCACCGCACAGCAAATTACTTTGCTGATCTCACCCATTGTCGATCCCTCGTGGATTTTGTGAGAATGTGCACGAGAAGCGGAAGTTGTTCCGCCCACACTTCACGTGAGAGCCACCTTCTGCGTATTATTATCAAAATACCGGAGAATTTATTAATTGACTTCTATACAATCTCACGAAATTTGCCTCACAATAAAACTTGCCGCATTTGCATATTGAATCCCTCCTTTTCAACAATCGCCTTCTCAGAACGGAGTCTGATATCAGAGACACATTATGCGTATTTAATTCACTTTTTGGGGTTAATGGGCGAGTGATTTCCTCAGAAATACACCAGAAGATATGCATTCGCCAGAGTCGTAATATGACGAATGGGGTCAATTATCTCCTTATCACTAAAGCATTTCATCAAAGAGCATTTATTAATTATCTCTCTAACGAACTTATTGACGTCAGCTTTGCTCTCATTGGTGATGAAATTATAAAGAAAAATACACAAAAACACAACTTTCTGCAAAACAAAAGTGTTCGAGGCTCAAAATCATCAATATTATTGTGTATTTTACATAATTCCTTTAAAGCGCCATCTGTAGGCAGATTGAGTAAATAAACACGGGGCTTTTTGAAAAGAAATGAAAATGTCCTGTAAAATATTCCAAGTTTGTAATTAATTGAAATATTTAAACTAACAAAAAATAGTCATAAACGTACATAATAATAGATTGCGAAATGTTCTGTTTGTGGAAAGAAGGAATTTTTTCCGCATTTCTAAAAACATATTTTCGCTCACTGACCTTCTAGTGAACATTCACGAAAAAAAGCTTAGATATGCCACTCAAAAACTCTGAGTAATAATCAGAAAAGCAAATCCAAAGTGAAAAAGCTCAAGTATGAGACAATTATTAAAACATCATTCGTCATTTTAAATAGCAATTACATATATTATAAATATGAATTTCCCGTTCAAAGGCCATTTGTTCTGTAAAAGTTCGCCAACCTCTGAATTAATTTACCACCCGTGAACAAACAATTAATACAGCAGCGCGTTTATTCAATTAAGAACACTTAACATTGGGCTAAACTGACAATATTTTTGCACTGAAAAAGGCATTAAAGCCCTCAATTTTCCAGGTGAAGTTGTACATTCACGCACGTCTGTTGAAGCCCTAAAAAGCGCACAAATTCGCAGCTTTTCACTCTTTCTCTCTCTGAACACACCAAAAGCACGCCCCGAATATTGTCAAAAAGTTGATGAGCACAGGCTAAAAATACTCGGCAATTTTGTATATATGTTGAAAAGGTGATTGTGGGGGTGTTTTTGATATAGTGACGAGGCGGAAGATATTCTTGCGAAGTGATTGGCACATTTTTATTGGAAAAGCTTTGGGTGCAATTGCATTGCCTCTTGATCGGCACTTTCCCTTCGTGCACTTTCACCCATGAACAGTTTGCCTTTCTCCTGCCAACCTTTTCGCGAAAATGGCATTTTGCAGATACAATAGGCGGTTGTACAGTGTGTTGATGGGGTGGGCGCGCGAAGGGTGGTGAAAAGTCGCGTGCTTTTTGCATTTGTACAGTCGTCAAAACTATCGAGAGAAATGCGATGACATGCCCAATTGGAGGCAAAGGAGCCTCTTCTCTGCCATCCGCATATAAAACCCATCAAGGCAACTAATGCCAATGCACAATTTCACAATTCTTGACGTCTCGCGACTCTAGACTTCTCATGCAAAGCCCATCTGCACTGCAAACCATCATATACAATCCCCTTTTTTTTCACAATCTTGACTCGTGTGACGGGGGCGCCAAAAATATCACACGACACAGAAAACGGCGCGCAATTGCAAATGTTCACACGAATTGTCTCACAGTTGATTTTTCGAGGGTTTCTCCACACTTGAGCTTTTTCATCACTTGGAAATATAAATGGGGAAAATGCGGGAAAAGTTGAAGGAAAACTCACCTGACACGAGTGACGCAATAAGTGTGGTACAATAGAGTTGATGATGTGTGTGGTGATGTTCTCTGCAAGAGGGAAAAGCGACACATTACCATTTTGGCCAACAACAGATCACTGACCGACGGCTGGTCAGCCAGCCGCCGAAGGGAGGGAAAATTCACTGAATTTCCACGGAAAATCACCCCCAAATTTCCGGTGTGTGGATTTAAACGAGAAATCGCCCAGACTGACTGAATTGCCAGTGGCAGAAGACAGTGAATTGATAAGATATCGTGGGAGAAAAGGGGGCGTCTAAGGAGCTCTCAAGTGTTGAGATAAAGACGAAGAACGCCCCCAAAATACAACTTCTTCCCATCGTTATTCACATAACTGAAAATTCACAGCACCCAAAAATCTCCGCAATTTTATTTTATCACATCAACGCGTTTTGCAGCACTTTTTTTTGATTTTCATGGAAAAATTTTCAACTTTGGCAGCGACAATAGGAAAAAAAAACAGATGAAATGCTATAGCACTTATCAATACGCTTGACCCGCTTGACAAATTATATTTTCCGTTTATTCGGAAAGCAAATTAAACTCGTCATTTTGCAACTTCAATTTTATTCACATTGTAGCTTAGAATTTTCCGATAAAATTCTGCCAAAAAATTGTCAAGTGTGCCGAAAATCATAACTTTCCCACAACTCCCTTTTTTCCTCTGCATTCCACCTCTAGTGACACATTTCAGGCGACAAATTATTTTCTATCAATTTTTCGTGCTGATACAAGAGTGAAACTGTGCTGTTGAGCAGCACATCTTTTGCCTACACTTTGGCGCTTTTTTCTTCAAACTCTCTTTCACACTTGTGCATTTTTCTGTGATGTGTTTTTGATCCCTACCAATTTAGCGAATGTCTTTGGCCGCAGAGACACATCAACCGAAAGAAGAGTCACCATTAAGTCGTTTCTTTGGCGTGTTCAGGGGTGAAAAATGTCAATTTGGTGGGAATCCTATCACTTTGCTTTTTCGTTCTTCTTCTCTTTTCGGGGCGAGAAACGCGCACTTTCGTCAAAGGGTTGTTTTTTCTTCTTCTTTCCACTGAATCCGTTTTCTTCTCCTTTTTTATTATATATTTTATATTCTTTAACTCTGTCTTTGCTCAGGTGATTAAAATGTCTATATCGGGATTTTCACATTTGTTTAACACTACGTGATCGTCACATTGTCCGGCTCCACTGAGCCCTGAAACTGTCTATTGAGAGTCATAATTGTAAATTGTCCACTTGATCAACTGCATTGAAGACATATTACCACAAAATAACAATTCTACCACCTGCCCTTGCTGCAGGACTCAACGCAAATTACGATGGGGCGGCGTGTGTGATTTTCCGGGAGCATCTCGCGAGCATCGCGCGATCCGCATTGGAACTGAGGTAGTGGTATCCAAAGTCGTTGGTCACTTTTACTTAATGCCCGGAAAAAATCACTACAACTGCCGAAGAGCTTCGGAAGCACAATGTCCGAAAATTGTGTCTCCAAAAGAGTCCACTACACACTTTGCCTCGATGCAAGAAAAGTCTGCCCGAATGGCCCGCAAAAGCACGTTACTTAATCCTTGTGGGCCGCACACACTTTGGAAAAATCGCCGCAAAAAACTGTCGCTGTGAACAGTTGCGCTTAATTCGAGATGGAAGAGTTGCGAACTCGGCACCAGAATAGGTCCGAACTGTAGGAGCGTCTGCTTAGATGTGGTGCGACTTCCTGGAGTGACACCATATAAGAAGGATAACTCCTTGGTATCACCCAAGCCGAGCGTCCAATCTCTCCCTTGTTCTAAGGGGTTGCTGCCGTATCGAGGGGGGCTGAGCACAAGAACGTGCTCTCCAGTGCTCAACGACGACTGCGAGAGCCACGACGGTGCCGACGAAGAAGACACCACACTAAGCTGAAAGGGGTGGTTTTATTCCCATATTACACAAGTTAAAGGAAATTTCGTAGTGGGGTAACTTGAGACGATCGGCCAGTATTTAAAGTCGGTTACACTTCTCTCCTCTGCACCACCCGCCTTTGCACATGTGTAGTTATATATAACTTCTCGCCACTATATAAACCCTTACTTATATGTATATGTAATGCCTCTTGCCTTCCCTCTTAAGTGTGTATATATTATGCGGTGGCCCTATATCTACATATAAATTCCTTTTACGCGCGCGTGACCGAAGATGTTGTCGCACTGAACGGCTTTTGCAGCAATCTCGCTCGACTCTTGGCTAGCGACTGAAGAAGACTTGAGATTGAGGCCAGGGTGGGAGCGACTGTGTGCGGTGTGTGGAAGCGCACAGGACTAACACGTTCCTCCGGCAACCCCATTCCTTATCGGCGCTGTCGTCTCCGTCGTCGACTCGGACGCACACAGTCCAACTGCAGCATCGCGGCGCGTGTGTGTGCCGACGTGGGGCAAGAAAAGGCCATTGGGTGTGAGGCGAGCGCCGTGCATGCGCACTCAGCGTCGCACAAGATCACTTACATCCCTACCCGACTCCGGCCACCCTCGCATCTTACTTGGCATCCCTTCCCTGGCGCGGCGCACACCAGCGCAACCCCCGAGCGCCGCTTCTCTCGTACATAAGACACCATCCCCACTCGCTTTCCGGAAGGGACTCGCGCGCCCTCCTCCGCCGCACTTAGCATAAGGACAAAGGGTGGGTATTCACCTAAGAAGGCTGCCGCTCAGAGCGTCTGTGTCCATGGGACAGATTCTGCGAGCTTTCCATCATCGCCGGTGGAACGAAGCATTAACAGCAACTCGTTGTCTCTCAATTGCACTCTTCTATTACTTGGACATGTATTTGATTTACTCTTATTTCTCTTAATCTACTGTTTTCCCGTTTCGATTCTCAAATCATTTAAATGCTTATTAACTTGTGTATTTACTCTTCTTCTGTTTTAAGCTTTCATGCTCTTCTTTGTATCATGCAGATGTATTTTAAAGTGAAATTTGACGCTCTCGATCTCCGCGTTCTCTCGCTGGTAAGTCGAACACGGATGTTTTTGTCTTACTTATTATTAAATACTATAAAAATTAGATGTTACTTCTTGGTTGTTACTTTATGTTGCGCGCACGAATTCTTCTGGGCAAAAAGGAATTTTGGCAACGAAAGTTCGAACGTGAAGTGTGACTGGGAAAATCAGGTGCACAGAACTGAAGGAATTTGCCTCTTCAGGACACTTTTGCAGCACAAGAAATTGGACAAAACTCAACAAAGCGATTTCTCGACACTTTTAGAATTTGGTCTTTTACTCTTTTTTTTTTCTTCTATCGGACTTGGTAAATTTTTGCCTCCCTCAAATACTCTCAATGCCCGGACTGGTGGTTTTTTTCCGCTATTATGTTGTCAAAATTGAACTTTACATTCGGTTTGCAAACGACAGGATACGTGATTTTTTTCTGGTTTTCGCCTTTCTCATTTTGATATTTCAAATAAAAAATAAGAAATTTGACGCCGGTTGTATGGCATCGCGCGCGACGGACGGCGATTACGCGTATTAACAACGACGCTGGAACAGCGTGACTGAGCGTCGCGGCGCGCCAGCAAGAAGCATTGCTAGATATAATCACATTGTGCCCATCGGACGCACATATAGATAGGACATATTTTCCCGATTGCCGAGGCGCCGCGCTTTTTTTCCCTATATACAAGCCCCGTTTTCTCGCTTTTCGGGGCATGATTTTTGGTTTGTCGTTGCAACAAAACTTTTGTGCCCCGCACACACTTGTATGGGTGCTCCGTGGTGGGGGGTGTGTCCGGACGTCGCGGCGCTTGCGTTTTCCATATCGACACTTTTTCGCTCCGCCTCCCAACGCTTTTTTCCACCTAAAACGCACTGTCAATGTGTGCTGTTGGAGATGCGTCTCATCCCCGCCACATGACACTCTTTTTTCCGGAAAAACGGCCTGCAAAAGTGCCTCTGAGAGAGTGTTGAAGCGACGTGTGAGTGTGCGAGAGTGGAAGCTTTTGCGTGGAATGAGAGAGCTTTCCCGACACTCCAAAATACTCTCTCACCTTAGACAGCCTTTTGAGGCTGAAAACCTCTTCGTGAAAAATCTCGAAATCCACATCAGAAAATCCGATAAACAATTAAAAATCGTCAGCAGTTTAATATGACTGTTAAATGAAGTAAATCAACACACAAACAGCCGCTTCGCGCGCATACACTCACCACCAGACGCTCGCTTTTCCATAAGTTCTGTCTTTTTAGTCGTTTTTCCTACGTTCGCTTCAGTTGACGGAAAAAGCCCCAACTTTTATATATAAAAATCCAAATGAGTTAAATGTGTGTCATTGATTTTTCAGCAGCGAAAGCATCTCCCACATAGAAATGCTCTTTGTACATGGGTGGCATTTTTTTATGTGTCCGAGGCACAATTATATGCAACAATCTCGCCCCAACGAAGGAGAAATTTTAATTAAGTTAATTTTTTGAAGGACACTTTTTGCATTTTTTCACACACACACACACACAACACACACGCTTTCGGGATCATTGCCATGCTGTGGCGAAACGCTCTCGTCCAGTGAGCATCTCTAATTAGTGTCTGGCACATCCTGGCCGCAGAAGGGTCCATTGTTCAAGGGATTCGTCTTGGGGCCTTTCTTCTTTGTCCGCGCGCACGGAAACTTTGGCGGAAAATCTCTGCGGTCGCAAACTTTGCGCAAATCCCGCGCATTTTCTTTCTGGCCACCCTCTTTCTTCATCCGGACAAACGGCGCGACAAAAGCACCCGCGCAAAGTTGCTCTTTCCCATAATCTCATTAAAAGTAACACAGAGTCTTCGCGTCCTGCGATGGGATTTCACCAAGTCCTCTCTCTCTCTCTCCCACTAATTAATATCAACGAGACTCACTGAAACTGCATGAGGGTCGATGCAAATGCCAAACCATCACCCTTTCCGCCAAATCACGCTGAGCATTTATTTTCCTGGAGGGCGATTGACCCCCTGTGCGCGCGGCCGAGGGTTTGAGGACGAATCGACCGGACATTCCCTTTTGTCTCTCGCCCTTTTCCACCCTCCACCACGAGCGAATGGGTGGATGGCACGAAGGCAAGAATATGAATTGCGGAGGAAAGAAAATAAAGAATGCGTCCGCCACAGTGCATGGCTTTAATTAGAAGAATATTATTCTACGGAGTAGCTTTTCTCAGTTCACGCAAAATAGCCCTTGTCTAGCAGCAGATCAAGGGGGAGATAGAGCTCGTTCAGAGAGGTACATCAACGCAGGGTGAACCATTCGTCCTGTGTGAATACAGATTTAGAATCAATGAATTCTGGCTCAAAAAAATACAAAATTCTCAAGCATTTAGCTAAAGAACGCACTAAGAAAATGTAGAACAGGGAATCAGATTTAGAAGATTCTTGATACAAAAGATAATTTATTTCAAAGATTAATAACCGTTTCAATGTAAATTAGTTAAAGCTATAATTTTTCTTCTAGTTTTCAGACTAAAATCACCAACATTATATGATAGTTTTGTACTACAATTCATTTGATTTGAAATTAAATTGCTGTGACTAAACGTTTAAATATAGAAACATTTATTTATAAAACATTAAAAAAAATAACTTGCTAGCAATGCCCTGAAATAGAGTCATTCAAAACGTATACAATTTATATCCTCTTGTGTACAAATAGAAACAAAAAAATATATAATAATCGTTCTTTGGTAAATTTATTATTAACAAGGTACAAAAGGATCGATTTTTTATTTGGCTAAAACGACAATTTCCATTGAATAATAGATAAGTTGTGTTTTATCCCGTGTAATTCCCTGCCGAAATCCTAATTACTTCCTTGCTGCCTAATCGGTCTAATCTCACTCCCTCGTGAGATGTCCAAATTAAGCCCAATTAGTATTTAAAAGGATTAATAAATTCTTCACTGTGACAGACACAATGCGTGTCTTTCTCAACTAAATATCTGGACCCTCATCAGCATTGGCATTTCCACGGGATTTTTCCATCGACCCCTGAGAAGCTTACCATGTAAATAAATTTAATTGAAAAGCATCTGGCTTTCGCATCGATGCGATGTTTTCTTGCTGGTCAGTTTGCCACTTTTCGTGGCGAGTGTGTTTCTGTGGAGAGACAATTGTCTCGAAATTGGTCAATTTTCAGTTCTGCGGTGGCAGAATTTATGTGTCCATCTGGGCTGGTGGAGTTTCTTCCATTGCGGGATTCGATGGGAAAGTCGCACAGACGAAGGTGCCTAGAGACAATCAATTAAGCCAATTGCTGTATTGGCGCATTAATGCGACCGCACACTTCAGACGATGAGAAATGGTGCGCCCACATATCGGGAGAGACACCACCTCAAACCACCGAAATACAACCCCTGACTGTATTGTTTATCGCGCTCTGTGGTTCATTCGCTGGCAACAGGTGTTAATATTGTGATTTCATTGAACACCATTGATACATGATTCCGAAGCGCTCAGGTAAGCGCCGCTGCAGGCGAATCCCATCCCCAGGAATTGTATCGCCTTCGTCTTTTTTCCCCCATTCCGCGCACCGTGCGGATCTCCAATATTTCCATTCTTTTTTCTCCCTGGCGAGAGCGAGCTTTCACCCCAATTTCAATACGCTCCACCTTTTTGGCATTCCTTCTCGGATATCCCATCGATTTGTTTGCGGTCCTCCGCCAAAGGGGCCAACATTGGGGATTGATAGCGAGTCACTTTTTGTCACTTTTCACCCCTCGCGCGATCGCGAGCCACATTTATTCTCCCATCTCGCCGTTGAGCTGCAGAAAAAGCCAATTACTGACAATATTGCATCACGGATTTGCCACACCAGAAAACCCACCCCCGCAGCTGGAATTCCTCGAACACCACCGAAGCGCTTTTTCAATTAATTTACCTCCAATAGATTGTTGCAAGAGATTCAAATTAAGTTATATCGTTCCTACAGCACCAACTCTGTGCGACTTGAGCCAATTGCAGTGGGGGGAGGGTTTGGGGGGAAAACAATCAGTGTGTTGTGGAAGTGTTTGCCTCAATGAAACATTGAGTGGATCGATAAATTAATTGTTGATAGATATAATCCACCTCAATTGATGCCATGGATTAAATTAGACTCTGAGATGGTTTGTATCGTCTTAAGTGCTTAACTTTAAGATGTTCGAGCATTCACCCCATGAGAAAAGTTCAGCAGTTAGACAATTTATCAAATATTTACCTCTTTACATCATTATAGTTTTGCCTCTATTTTACCACTTAATCACAAAGTCAAGTTGCTGTGAAGATGCCAAAACGTCATAAAATTA